CTGGAGGATCGCTGCAAGTTCAAGGCCAGCCTGAGATACATAGTGAGTTCAAGTCCAGCCTGAACTAAATAGTGAGACTCTGTCTCAAAAAAAAGCAAAAATAGGGCCAGGGATATAGCTCAGTGGCACAAGTGCCTGCCTGGCAAGTGCAAGGTCCTGAGTTCGATTCCTAGTACAAAAAAAAAAAAAAAAAGAAAAAAAGAAAAAGGCAAAAATAAATTAATTAAAATAAAAAAATTTTTTTAAAGTATTTTCTTTCATTATTCCATTGGGCTAGAGCTTTTGGCTAAACATATTGGGGAAGTAGCTTGTGTGGTGGCCCATGCCTGAATTCTTAGCACTGAGGAGGCTGAGGCAGGAGGATGGGGTGATCAAGACCCTGTCTCTAACAGAAAAAAATGAATAATATTAATAATTTTGGGTTTACAGTTTTGGGCACAGATAGAAATAGAATTATGAGTAGTTAAGATTTAACATGAAATACTGCTACAGTCGTCCATATGTTTGGGTTGAATAATTGGAACAACATTAGCCTCTCTTATCCCAGAAAGGGCCAAGAGCAAAAGGCCTTCGTATGTGTTAGTGGTGGCGAGTCTGTGGCGCGCGTGCCGCAGTGGGCTGTTTGTGTCATTGAAAGCGCTGAAAGGTTCGCCATCACTGGTTTCTCACATTACCACAGTGGACTTCAGCTTTTTGATTCTTGGTCAGATGTAGATGTGCATATATGAGACCTACAAAAGGCCATGAGAATTTTAAAAGCTGACAGTGTAGAACTACTTGGTATGAAGAAAATGGTATGAGTTTTATATGTTAAGAACAACTTAAAAATTAACATTAAATTTACAATCTTACCTTATTCTTTTTTTTTAGTCATCATGGATTTAAGTTGCTGCTTCTCTATCAACTTTTTTATTAGTTTGCAGTTTATGCAGTTCACAGTCATCTTGGGGAGTGGTTCCATGTACATATGACAACTTGTCTCTCTTTTTAATCCCCTTCTCCTCCCCCCCAATTCCCCTAGCCCATTTTCATTCTTGTTCTTACTGACCTTAGCTCATGTTATGGCATATAGTATTTACATTCATTGAGGTCATTAGGTTCCTGTCCATGGCATGTCTTTATTCTACCTATCCCCCGTCCCTTGTTCCCTTGGACCACTTCTCTGTTGCAAGAGATCTGTTCCTTTGTCACTTTCTTTTTGTTGTTGTTTGTTTGATTGATTTTTGAGATAGGGTCTTGCTATGTAGCCCAGGCTGGCCTTGAACTTGCAGCAATCCTCTTGCCTCAGCTTCTCCAGTGCCAAGGTTACAGGTGTGTGCCACCATGCCCGGCTCCCTTGTCCCTTTCTGTCCATCTGTATTATTCTATTTGCACTTTTCCTCATTCAGATGAGAGATGCCGTATGGTGTTTCAGCGTGTGTGTCTGGTTTATTTCACTCAACATTATACCTTCTAGGTGCATCCATTTTCCTACTAGTGTCTCAAATTTGTCCTCCTTTATAGATAGCCTAATAGTATTTCATTATACAGCATATAAATACCACATTTTCTTTATGTAGTTAGCTGTTGATGGGTACACAGGCCTCTGCCAGGATTTAGCTATTACAAATTGTGCTGCTATTGTATAAACTTTACTTTATAAAGGAGTAAGACAGTCAGCTACCCTAGGCAGCCATGTTAAGTGCTGTAAATTATATAAAGTTTTGAGGAACATAATTGAATATATGTTCCATTTGGACTCTAATAAATAGTTGGAAAATTGTTTTGTACACATGACTTTTAGTTACTGTGTATTCCCAAAGCTATAATTAGCTAAAATAATATCACGATGTTTAGGGCTTAGTTATCCCTGAGGTCATTAACAGAAATCCTGAAATAGAAAATACACTAATGATACAGTTAGCAACTGAAGAGATAGACACTAAAACAGCATACACAAAATAGGCACTGACAATGAGCATGGAAAAAACATTTTATAATGTAGCTGTAGTTTTAACAAAATTTAAATATTGCTTAGATCACTTTGTTGAAAAGGACTCTAAATGTTAATGCCCCAAAGCAGAGAGTGCCTAGATTATATGATAGTTTCTAGTCTAGGTCCATGATCTGGAAGTGGTAGCCCATATTCTAGGTGTTTATTATTGCTGATTAATGTTGTTTAATGTGCCCATTAAAATGTAAATGTATTGTCTGCAGTGCTAGCTATAACATAATGTGAAATATTGTCTCTTCTCTTTTTTAGAGAGAAGGTCTTGCTAGGTAGTTCATACTGGCCTTGAACTCACTCTGAAGTCTAGGCTGGCCTCAAACTCGTGCTGATCCACCTTCTTCAGCCTCCCAAGTGCTGGGATTACAGGCATGTGCCATCATGCCAGGTTTCTTTTTTTCTTAAATTTGTAATACTTTATTAGTACGTGGTTGCAGTACATAATGATTATATTCATTGCGGGGACTTGCTATGTGTACGTAGCACATCTTAATTCATATTGATACCGCAAGTGAATTGAACAAGAAAGGCACTCACAAGAAACACGAAAAGGCAGAAAGAAACAATGCTTTATTAAACCGGCTGACGGACAGTCTCTAACCAGGAGCCAGAGAAGATGTCCACCCCAGTCTGGGTCTCACCTGCCGTTTAAGTACATTTTAGGTTTCCATAGTAACCATTACCCCATTTCTGAGAATCTTACAAGAATGTCACACAATTATTACAAAGTTTACACACTTGGCCTGGCAGGCAGAGGAGAGCTTATTAGCTGGTTTGTGACTGTTACATGGTGATTCTTTTTGTCCTTTCCAGGCTTTTTAATTAAGATTTTATTAGACTTCAGGATCAACTTGAGATGCATCGACCTCTTTCAGTACTAATCTTCCATCCAGGAACATACCTCTACAGTTATTTTTTATTGCCCATTTATGTATTGCACAGTCTTTCTGTTTAAGTATTCTATATATGGATACTAGACCTTTATTATTAGGTAGAGCATTTGCAAATACTTCTCCCATTCTTTAGTTGTCCTTTTACTTTCTTGGTAGTATCCTTTGAAGCACAACTGTTTTTAATTTTGATGGTTCATGTGCTTCAGTGTCATCTGAAAAAAATCATTTCTAAATTCAAGGTCCCAAAGATTTATATTTTTTCCTAGGAGTAGGACTTTTATCAACTGTATTTAAGTCTTTGGTCTATTTCGAGTTTATTTTTACATACGAAGTTGGGTGGTAGTCCACCTTCATTCTGTTGTATGAGGATGGTCATTTGTCCCCCTACTCCTTCATTGATTGTGCTGGTGCAGACTTTTAGGTTGGCAATAAATGTGGGAGTTTATTTCTGGATTTTCAGTTGACTTCTGTATCTGTCCTTATTCCAGACCGATAGTCGTTCTTACTGTCATTTTGGTGTTTTATTTTATTTTGTTTATTTATTTGGTACCAGGAATTGAACTCAGGACCTTCAGATTGCCAGGCAGGCGCTTGCACCACTGAGCTAGATCCCTGGCCGCTTCTTACTGTCATTTTGTAGCAGCTATGTTAGTCCACCAACTTTGTTCTTCAACAGTATTGTTTTGATTATTCCAAGTCTCTTTGAGTTTCCACATGAATTTTAATTTGGTGTCAGTCAGTGACTGTATACCATCTGGGAGTCTCATGTAGATTGACCCTGTAGATCCATTTGATCATCTTTCAAATACTATGTTTTCTAATTCATGGATGTATTTCCATCTATGTAACTCTTCAGTTTCTTTCAGCATGTTTTGTAGTTTCTGAGTAAAATCTTTAACACAGGTATACAAACATATACACACAGCAGACATACACACATAAACTTGCACGTATGTACATGAGCAAACACACACTGAAAGCCTAAAATAACCTGGCACATAGAGTTTGTATAACAGTACTATAAATACTGATGTCTTGAATCTTTTTATGTGTCTTTAACACTTAGGGCACGGTGGATTAAAACAAAAGTAGAAGAGTAATGAACATTCATTTCTAGACAGTTTTACAAAAGAAAGGCTTAAATTACTTCTATTTTATCCATTAGTAAAGATAAGATATAAAATTGTATCAGATGTAATGTCAAATATAAACAAGCTTAAAACTGTAGTATGACCCCATTTGTGTCAAATTTGTCATCTGTTTCTTATTTGACAGATGTGGGAAAAATCAGAAAATACATCAAAAATTAAGTATTTTTGGCTGGAAGAATTACAGTGATTTTTATTCTCTCCATTTTTCTATATTGTTTTGAGCATGTATAGATTTTTGCAGCATACACAAGAAAGAATATTAATTAAGGTTGCCCTTTTTTTGAGAGAAGGTCTTGCTGTATAGTTCAGACTGGCTTTGCACTCACTATGTAGCCCAGGCTGGCCTTGAACTCATACAGTCCTCCTGCCTCAGCCTCCCAAGTGCTGGGATTACAGGTGTGCACCACTGTGCCCTGCTTAAAGTTGCTTTTTGTAATGTAAACACACAGAGATGTTAGGTAACTGATTTACTTTATTCCTCAGAGGGTTTTTTGTGTATAACCTGAATTACATTATCTGTCTTGCCTGGTGCACAGCACATAGTTATAAGGGATGAAAATAAGTATTTTGAAAACTGCAAAGCCCTGTGGAAATATGGGAAGGAGCACACACTGCTGTGCAGAAACCATGGAAGGTCACCTATTGGTGTAGATTAAATAATAGCTCTTTGGGTTGTTTCTAGGTTCATGGTGTTGTTTTAGTAGCATTAATGGCCCACACTTTTAAGACATGGTCAGAAGCTAATATTTATCCTCACCATTTCTTTTTTTGTGAGGCAGGGTCTCACTGTGTAGTACAGGCTGGCCTCAAACCCAGTGATCCTCCTGGCTCAGCTTCCCAGGTGCTGAGATGACAGGGCTGCACCATCATGCCCAGCCTGTCATCACAAAATTAAATAGTGTTCTAGTACTGATTAACTGGGAATTGAAACGGTATCTAACAACATCATTTAAATGGTTTTTCCACCAGGCATGGATGGGCAGAAGCCTTTGCAGGTATCAGAAGTTCACATATCAAATATATCTGCCCACACGCGTGAGTATTACTAATCTTTAGGCTTTTGATGTAAAAATCTGGGAAGGGATAATTGTGTTAGCTTTGGTTTTTCAGAAAAGCCTTTGAATGAATATGATTAATTTTTACTTTCTAGATAATCAATTTAAGAACAAAGATGTGGGCTTCATAAGAACTATATTAGTCTTTTGTTTAAATTGAAGGTTTTTTTGAGAAATTGAAAGTACTGTTCTCTTACAACCATTGTTAATCTTCTATCATCTTGTTTGAAATTTTGTATCATTTTTATTGTTTTTGTGTTTTTTATGTCTTTGTGTTTGTTAATTTGTTTTTGTTCTTTTCTCTTTAAAATAAAAAAAAAACAAAATATTGTTCTCCTAAAGGTCAGTTGAACATAAAGCCAGAGAAATTGTTTTATTTATTTATTTTTGGTTTTTCTCCGGTACCGGGAACCGAACTCATGACCTTGTGCTTGCCAGGCAGGCGCTGTGCCGCTGAGCTAAATCCCCAGCCCCCAGAAAAATTGTTTTAGATATATAAAAACCTGTCAAGTTCTAAGGATACACACGGGTTATCTGTACAGGGGATTTACTTGGCAGATTTATGAGAAACCTTCATTATATTGAAAACATTCTTGTATTTTATCAGTTAGAAGCAATGTGTGATATTCTGTGGACAGAACACAGACCTTGAGTATGGTAGATTTGTTTTCAATTTCTGGCTTGGAAAAGGTTTATGGATGCCAAGAAGAAACTAGCACGTTTTGAGCAAATGTGGAAAACCAGTAAGCTTGACCAGTGTTAGGTCAAAAGGTCGCTGAGAAGCAATAACCAGGAAGAAGGCAAAAGGGATAAGATACACATGGCAGTGGGTTAGGACCTGAACCTCAGAAGTGGTAGTAGCAACAGCGTTCAGACAGATACAGGAGTAAAGGAACAGGCAGAATATCTGAAGATTGGGGAAGGAAATGTTCCTTTCTCTTTTTGTCCTGCAATAGTCTTTCCTATCTATATAGGCTACAACAGAATGCTGTGGTTACGGTGGCTGTGTCTTCTATTTTAAGAGAGGAAAGGTTTATTGGGGAATAGAAATAGCACCTGCAAGACAGGAGGGGTCCCAAGTGAATTGCCCCGTGTCCTCTATTATTGAGCTCAAGCAAGAGACAATATTCTTTTTTGTTTGTTTGTTTGTTTTCCGGTACGGGGAATCGAACTCATGAAATACTTAAATATGCTGGAATTTCAGCTTTATTTTTTGCCCCAAGATCAAATTGCTTTAAAGCTATTTCACATCCCAAGGAAGTTGTATTCTCAAATTCTGATACAATTTTGTAACCCCCAATAGATTGGTTGCTAGAATGAGGACAGTGGTGAGATACACTTAGAGTGTATATATTTTTCTTGCCTTTCGTACCTGGCTAAATTCAGATTGTCAAGCATATTTTTCATTCCAGACTTGAATTGGATGCAACGAACATTTAGGCAAAACTGACCTATGCAGGTATATTATATAGAGGTGATACATATTTAAAGGTATATTAACTGAGCAGATATGTAGCTAAGAAATAGAAAATGAGTAAAGTACAGTCTGAGCATACGGGAATGGATGGTGGGGCATCTGTGCCATAGACTGCCCTTACCAGAGTCGCATATGTTACGCATTCCCATCTGCCTTCTCATCTCTGAGAAGTTAGGTATTAGGCAAGGGCACTGAGAAAGGAAAACAAGGTTACCTGCCCAGCTTAGTCTCTTGGAGCGCCTTCTGTGTCTTCAGGACACATTTGGGAGGGCAAGATGATCGAACCATTCCGGTGTGAGTACTTTAAACAGCTCACGTTAACACTGTACCGTAGAATTCTGTGTGAGCCTCAAATGACGACCTGTTTTAGATGGATGGAATTCATTGTTTTGTGCCTCGTTCTTACTTTGCTGCTGTTCTTTCCTTCGTAGGCCTGTTATGCCTGTAACATTAAATATGAACATGGTTATGCCTTCTTGGTAAGTAAAAATTTACTTGCTCAGTTAAGAACTTCCTAGTCTTTTATCAGAAGTGCTTTTAGGTACAGTCTAGATTTTTTCTTCTTTTTGTTTTCCTTTTTTCCACTTCAGACAAGAGTCTGACCAGGTCACGCCCGCGCTGGGCTCAAACAATGACCTGCCTCCCCGTCCTAGGAAAATACACCGCTGTACCTGGCTGTGTCTAGCTATTTGTAAATTTCACAGTTACATAATTAACTTTAAATTTAAGCTTCAGTTTTTACGCTTTAGATTTCTGAGTAAACAGAAGGACCTGTACGAACAGAAACTGGAGAAAGTGGGAGACGAAGCTCTGGGGAAACCCCGCGGCTCTGCCCGCCCTGGCTGACGCAGCCCTGCGCGCGCGGGCCCCGCCGGTCCACAGCCGCGC